TGCTGGAGGACAGGGACCAGCTGCTGGCCGTGCGGTGAGCCCTCCGCACACGGGGAAGCGGGCGGGGCGGCATTTCCGTGGCCTCTGCTGTCGTTCTGGTCCGCGCACACGTGTTGCAGGCAGCACTGTCCAATGAGCACGTGGGCGCGCGGAGCCCTCCCACACTCAGGGCTCTCACGCAGCCGGCTCGTTGTATGTTTAATTGATAAAACCCGCTGCAGAGGCCGGACACCTCGCCAGCGTCCACACCCATCTCTGCCCCCCTCACAGGAGGAGACAGAGAACTTGAGTGGGGATGGGTCCATGCAGCGGGCGCCCGGTGACTGAGGACAGGACCCCTGCATGCCAGGTGGCCGGTCAGAGAGCCAGCCTGAGATGGGCAGGTTTCCTGGTCACTCCCCCAGGCGCCAGGCCCAGAGGCGGCGGGCCCAGCGAGTGTCACAGCCAGGGAGCCGCTCAGCACCAGGCATACGCGCTCGCAGTCACTACTGAGCTTGTTGTTGCCCAAGAGAAAGGGACATCGAGCCCCGTGCCAGCTCCCCGGCCCGGCTCCAGGGTAGGAAGCACTTTCACGGACGTCTGGTGCAGGGGTGGCAGTGCCAGCACACAGGCCTCCGGGAGCCCACGCAACGGAAGCCATAGACTCACGCACTCAGAATGACAAGAAGGGCGGGAAAACACAACAACACAGACCCAAACGACGGCCTGACGGGGAGCGGGAGTGGGCTGCTGGACTGTGCAGAGGCCCAGAGCCGCGGCCTGAGCGACTGAAGGACTGAGCGTGTGGCTCGCCTCCCCCGCCAGCATGCCTGGGTGCTTTCAGGGTTAAACAATGTCACTTCACTGACTTTTCAAAACATTTTCTCCCTCATTTTAAAGGGTGGATGGCCTGTGGTGTGCGCCGAGTCAGTGACTTTCAAACGGCCGGTGAGGGACGGGTGCCGCTCTCCCCAGGGAGAGGCGGGTGGTAGGCGCTGGGCGGCGTGTCCAGAGCCCTGTGTGTGTCAGACAGGCCCAGAGGAGGGAGAAATTTCTGCAGACCCCATGGTCCACAAAGGTGCAAGGACATTAACACACACACACAACATAAGGAAGGGTGTTGGCTCTGCGAGCCCAGAGGGTGGCTGGCCTCAGGGCTGCTGGATCCAGGGCCTCGCCACGCTGCCAAAGACCCAGGCCCTCGGGGTCTCCACTCAGCTGACCACAGCATCCCCATCCTGGGCTGACTGTCCTCGTGTGCACAGGATGGCTGCCAGGAGCAAGGCATTGCGTGCTTCTCCATTCACCATCTGCAGGTTAAGAAGGGAACCACTTCCAGAAACTTCCAGAAAGGAAGGGAGGAGCTCTCCCTACACCTCCTGCCCCTCTAGAACCCAGAACCTGTGGGACATGTGGGCAGTTGTCCTGAGGCAGCAGGTCTGTGTGGTCCTGGCTGGGCTGCGGGTGGGGGTGAGCGGGTGGGTGCCGGGCCTGCAGCCAGCAGTGTCCACCACAGACGCCGCCGCAGGCTGGGCGACAGCGACAGTGGACTTCCGTCAGTGGCGTGGGGCTTGCCCTGCAGGGCTGACAGCAGTTTCCTTGACTCAATGTCCCTCCTCCTCTGTGCCTTTCCACCCGCCCACTGCCTCCTCATGTCTGAACCGCCCCCCCTCGCCCCGTGGAGCACAGGGGCCTCTGTGGTCACTGAGGGACACGATGTCCTCCAGCCACGTGGCTGTGTGGCCACGTCTACCTGCTCCCGTCTGCCTCGGGGACGGGGCAACAGGCATTTCACACGCAGTGTTTTCTAAAAATAAGGAATTGATCTGCCATCTGTCCAAAAACAAAGCAGAACCTGCTGCAGAAAATCAGTCAATAGAGTCGAGTGTCCCACTCCCACAGCTCACAGGGACAGCAGCACGTGGCCACCACGCACCCACGGCCACCCCACCGCACAGCCACGGACACCGCACACCCATGGCCACCACACAGCCACG